ATTTAAGATGTAATTAACTATAGGGGCTTGCCTCTATAGGGAACCAGGAACCCAGATAAAATAAACCCTATCTAATTTTTATGTTAGATAGGGGAACTTGTTGGCCTTTTTATAAAATATTTCGCAGATCAAAACGGATGTCACAAATTGTTTAGTCTAGATGATTAAATCCCTATTACAAGTAATATATTTATTCTTCGGGATAAATGTATTGCTTGTAGTATTGTATTAAATCATCTAAACTATTAAAAATGTGAGACTCGTTTGGTCTCACCTATTTTAAAAATTAAAATGTTACTTCTTTAAGAAAGTTATATTTATATTTAAATTATTTTCAAAATCACAAAATCATCACCGTTTACAAACTACGAAAGTGAAGTTGAACAAAAAAAACGGCCGACACTTCCCAGTGAGCTCGTGAGACGATCCAGAAATGACGTGATAGAACGAACGATACCGAAGAGCGAAATGAAGCGAACGAGGAAGAGGCTGGGGCACTGCGACACGATCCCCCACCCTTCTTCTTCGAGCAGGAGTCCAGGAGTCTACGAACCGCTGCGGCTACCCGCATCGCCATGGAGTCGCGGCGGGAGGAGTAAACCCTAGCAGAGCGACATGCATCTTTATATATATATATATATATGTATGTATGTATATATATATATGTATGTATGTATGTATGTATGTATGTATATTTTACAGCTGGAAGGTTATACTGATACTAAATATGCAAGATTACTAGTGGACAGGAGATCTACTTCAGAAGATATCACAATTCTTGAAGGAAATCTTGTAACATCAAAAAACAAAAAAAAAATGTGCCTATTTAAAACCCAATGCTGAACCAAAATTCAGATCAATTACTAATGAGAACTGCCAACTCCTATAGATTAAAATCATTTTGGGAGATTTAAAAATCTGATATGAATATATACTGTGACGGTAAATTTGTCATTGGTGTTATTTACAATCCTATACAACATTATTATACAAAACATGTGTAAATGGATAGATATTTTTTAAAAGAAAAACTAAAAAGAAGATTGATTTGCACTCCATAAATACCGATAAGAAAACAGCTTGCTAACATATTAGCAGGAGGCTTAGCAACTCACATTCAAGAATACTTTAAGCAATTTTGGAATAACAAATCTCTACCATCCAATTTGAAGGCAAGTGTTGAATGATCATCGAATCACAAAGAGCCACTGGGAGTGGTAGGTAAGGAAAATTAGAGTCCACGAACTCATTGCTTGTAAGGAAATAAATATCCCACAGATGCATATATGAAAAAGGAAAGAATGAGCCCACATATTGCTCCCTTGGCATCAAAGCCAACCCTAAATAGATTTAGAAAACATGATACCTAAGGACAGATTTGTATTTGTTATTGTATTTATTTATTTTCTTTTTATTTAAATGTAACTTTGTGCATAAAAATGAACAATCCAAATTTTTCTAGCCACTTCATCTTTTCTACAATGCATACAAAATTTACGAGTGGACGCAGACACATAATAATTTAAATCAATGATTACAAGCCAGGTCTACTACACATGTATGGGTCAGAATATATGTATTTACCTCTTCATGAGTCAAAGGAGGCTGTCTTGGCTTTCCCCATACGAGCGATAATTTGTCGAACTGTCAAAAAACCATATAAAATATTGATTAAACCTGAAAACTCAAATCATAGAATACTGGCAAACTATTTTTGCTACAGAAAAAGGTAAAACATCAACAAGAGATTCTTTTTATTAATCAAACTTGATTTCGAATACAAGAATTTTGCACCTGAATAAAATTTAAAAAAAAAGGAAAAAGAGTTTATTCTTCAGATAGAGGCCATCTAAACAAGCGCAGTTCATATGTATAAAAAATAAGATGCCTGTTGACAGGAAGAGTTGTTTGCTGCTTACATGTTAGTTCTAGTAGCATCTTTGTAAGTTCGTGGTGAAAGTAAGAACTTATTCATTAATAACTGGACAGTGTGGTGTAAACCCACAATCATATATATACAAGTGTGTTCTTATGCGCTAGTAGAGAACAGTGATTACTATATCATATTTTAAACGTTAAAAATCTAATAAACGAGCCCACATATGAGGATGCAAAAATACAATATTGTCCCTAAAGCAACCGGTACAACATAGCTTGGCTGATTTTAGAGAAATGGCTTGTAATGTGCCGATGCATCCAATGCTAAATTTCAAGAAGTAGGGATTATATCTACCACAAATACAACAAACAAGAAAAGTTGTGCATCGGAACCTGACATTAAAAACCAAATGCCTAATCTAGCATGCAGAGAGTTTTACAGGCTAAGCTTAAGTCTAAGAGATTACCTCAGTTGAATCTGATGATGCAACAATGTCATCTGCCTTTGATTGTGCATCATTAGGCTTATCATTAAGCAGACTAACTGCTGCGGCATCCAAAGGAGAACTATTTTTCTGCTTTCTGTCATAGAGGAGATCGTGACTGTCATGAAATTCGCGGAAAAGTTGTGTGGTTGCTTCGCGGGCAAGCTTGGTAACAAGTGAGAACTTTTCCAGAACATGAATTGAAAGATCATGAGTAGGGTCATGGGTCTTGTGCCTTTGTCTCCCACTATATTCAGAAGTAGTAGAAGTGCCACTTGAAGCAATGCCATTCACCGTCATAGAATCATCAATTGAAGAAACCTCATTCGGTGAACCCTGCATGGGTGCCCCATTAACAACTGAAAGAACCCTTGGAAGCTCCAGTGAAGATAAGCTTTTCTGCAAAAAGTAATCAATTGTAGGTAATAGAACAGAATGTTGAAAATTGTAAAGTAAAACCCGGCTGTAAAATATCTACCATAAAAGTTTCTCCTCATGAGCCTATAAATAAAAGGTTGATATCAGATGCGTTTTAGATAAAAACATCTTATACTCACAAAAATCATTTAATAAAATATAGAGGCATCAAGAACAAAAAAATTTATGGAAAAGTAAGATACGGGTCTGTTTGTAAGAACTATGGCATATCCATGGAACATAATCCAGTAAGCAGATATTCTATTTAGCAAAGGAAGATTTTACTCTATGAAATATCCAATATCCAAGTAAACCCGCTTTCCTCAAGCATGGTACACTTGAAGACTCGTAACACTAAAGCAAACAATCCCTAATGAAATCTCCTCATTCCAACTATGAAACAGATCGCAAGTTATCTCTGCCTTTGAAAAAGCTAGACAAAGCTCCCACTTGCCTGATTTGGGATATGACCGACTTTACTGAGATAGTTACCATTGTTTGAGATTGGAATTTAATGTCTCCAGTAAATGAATCGCTAGTAACCTCCACCTTCCATTAAAATTATGCGGCTTTCTTAAGATACGTAGAAGGATTGATCTCAGAAAGAAGAATTTTTATCTAATTAGCCCTATTGTATTTCTTTATAACCCTCTTCAATTTCATTACTAATGACAAGCTCATTCTAGTTGTGCATCTTCTGCCTCATTATCTTCAACAAACCCTATTAATTTCATTTAAATAATACATACTCTTTGGCACCCGGTTAAACGTTAGATGGAAGGATGTTGAAACACACATGAAGAGTGGAGGCACGACGCAAACATTTGCTAAGGGTGCTTTCTTCAAATTTTACCAATGGATCCATGTGGAACCAACGAAATTAAATAGCATCCGACTACTGTTTCTAAATATATCATTATATCAGATTGTATATTAAAAATTAGAAAATATCATCCTAAGATTTTATTACGTTATGCAAACCATCCCTGATTAAATTTAGATGAGAAAATGATCATGCATATCTACAAAACCACCCCAATGTGGCTGGTCAATAATTTGTATTATTCAATATATACCGATATAGCATAAAAAAATGTCTCAGAAAGAATTTGTTGAATGTGCTCTAATTCATCGAAACCTGATGGCTAGCAATAGTAGCTTGGTTAATGTTATACCAAGTGGAAATACTTTGTCAAGTGGTTACAGATAATTTGCTCAGCATAAGGCTGAGAAAATTTTGATAATTAATGCAAAAGGTAGGAAAATCATAAAACAAAATTGGGAAATAAAAGTATTGTGGAGTGAGGCCCTTTGTAATTGCTTGAACACTTATCCATTGAGATATTATCAGTTTTGGGCTGATGGTCTCATGTTTTTTCCCGTTGGTATAACTGCCCACCAAGTCACCCATCCCAGGCATGCTCCCATGCGAACAGACTTAAATTTGTAGTTTCTGATAAAATTCCACCGTTACACCAAAAGGCGCCTCGACGTCTAAGAGTTTAGCTTCTTTCTACTCGAGAGATTTCATAATCTCCCCCACTTTAAGTAACTGATATCCTCGTCAGTGCTCTAAACCCAGATTCATCCACCATACATACAGAATTTTAGAGGTGGCCCCTACAAAATCAAGAGGTTACTCCCACCATAAAGCACTTTTATCTCATCTGAGATTTAAGAGGTGGCTCCCATAACTAGCACTTTATCCATACAACACTTAAATCTCATCTCCTAGCTGGTGTAATGCTCTAATAACATTTGTCAAAGCCCAAACTCTCATCCATTGAGATATTGTCCGTTTTGGCCTGATGGCCCAATAGTTTTCCCCATTGGTGTAGCTTCCCATGAGTGCTCCCATGCGAGTAAGCTTAACTTCGAAGTTTCTGATGGAATTCCCTAGTTATACCAAAAGGCCTCAATGTTTAAGAGTTTAGCTTCTTTCTACATAAGGGGCTCCACACCATTGAACAAAGCAATCATTTTTCTAAAATAGTTCACTTGGGCTTTCGATCATTGTTCTTCATAATTGCATGAAAATTAATTATAGTTAGAGCTAACTTAGGCGTTCAAATTAACTTAGATAAATCTTTTGAAACACTCTAACCCTGGTAACATTTTGTCACCCTTCTCTATAAGCAAATGACATTACTTTTATCCCACCTTTTTTTTTCATCTTCTTCTCCTGATTCATGCCAAAATTATATGTTATGTAATCAAATATTTATAGGCTACTGCTTTGATCTTCCATACTCTCTCACATCATCAATTAAAACCTTCTCTTTCCTAAGTTTGCCTCACCATCCAATGTTACCATTCTCATTCCTGAACATCTGATAACTTGCACTTGCCCTTTTTGTTACCTAGCTCATACATCCAACATCAAAGTTATGTTGCGGTTTTGTTTTACAAACTTTATCTTTTTGTTATATGCCAAAATATTTTCTAGTAAACTATAATACTTGAACCTATCAGACCTTTCATTATTTTACAATTATAGCGTTATTGACTGCTCATTTTTAGTTCCATATCTAAGAAATGTGTATATAGTCAACATTGTCAATGGACACATGCTAGTTGGGTGACAACAGATGGATAATGTTTTCCTCGATATGCTAAATTTACTTATTGTAACGCATAAAGTAAACTTTGTAAAGCTCAAATTGAAAGAGAAATAAAAATTTATAAAATATTCCTAACCAAATAAGCACTAAATCCCTTAAAAATTTTCACCCTCAATTCTCTAAATTTGCATTTATTCAAGTTATTTCCTTACCTAGTGATGGAATTTTATGAAAATTTTAATTTTAGTATTTTTTATTTTTTGAGCTTAGTATGAGGGTATGTTATAATTCTTATTTCGTTCTTTTATCATGCGGAGTTATGGCTGAATTTATGATATTCCTAATGTGGGAGTCATCTCCCTCTATTTATCCCATAATCATCTCCCCTATGAAATTGGTATCAGAGCCAGTAAACGATTGAAATCCTTGATAGAAAGTGTTCTAAAGTACTTGGCTAGGGCCGAACTTGCATCATGTTTTTTGGCAAAGACACAATCGAAATAGTTGGTCATGCATCTCCTTCAAAGATGTTGTGTCAAGGCTGCTACTCACAATCAATCAGACTACTATGTAGCTACTGTTATTTCTTTGTAGTTGTTTCTTCTTCGTAGCCACTACTCACAATCGAAGTTGTTGTTTTTCTCCACGCTAGTCCACCCAAGCTTTGGAACTCTCTGCGAGGGAAATGCAGTCGTGGAGATGCTTGCGAAGAGGTATCTTGTCAAAGACACCACTCGTGACTTGTCGTTACCGCTCGCAGACACTTTTAAGGCGCGTACAAAGGAGGAGCTCCTCGAGATTCTATCTTTCCACCAAACCGAACTCGCCATTGAACTCCCATCGTAACCAGACCAGCGATCAAAGCCCGTACCCGTGATCAAAGCCCAAGCCCGAACGAGGTTATGGTTTTTTCTCTAGGAGCCCTGATAGTGGGTTTTGCACTGAGCAAGTCGCTGACACGAGTTTTCTCATTCTGATTCTACAGGAAACTAAAGAGCCCTTTGTGAAATTGGATGTAGTCCATTTCACCAAAGAACAATTAAAACACCTGCAAAGACTATTTCAATCTCGAAAATTGTCTCTAACTTCATCTTACTTGTTAGTTCAAAAGGATAACTCTCTAGCCACTGTGATGTTAAATGTTATTCCTAATTTTATTAACATTGAATAATTAATTTTGGTGCAAATAATCATGTAACTGGTTGTTCAAAATTGCTATCATCCTATAGAACTTGTGAAGACAATAAAAATGCCAAAAGTGTTGATGGTTCCCTCTTAATAATTTTCGGGATAAGAACTGTCAGACTCACTCAATTATTAACACTTCATGATGTGATCTACATTCCTAATTTATCCTGCAACTTGTTTTCAATTTGTAAAATTATCGCTACCATTAGTATAAAGCTATTTTCTACCCTTCTTGTTGTGAGTTTCAGAATTTAACAACTGTTAGTATAATTGACAGTGCTAAAGAAAAAATTGACTATTATTTTGAAGATGGACTTAAGTTAGAATAGGTAATATCAAAATATTTATTTAAACTCTATTCTAGTCTTCAAAGACAAAAATATTATGCTATGACATTATAGGTTAGGTCATCTTAGGTTTCAGTATTTAAAATTCATGCTTCCTAGTTCATTTCAGGATACAAATTTGACCTCCTTCCAAAGTGAAGTCTATCAGTTTGCCAAACATCGTCGTCGTCTATTTCTCCCCAAAATTATAAACCAACTACACAATTTACTTTGATTCATAGTGATATATGGGATCCTAGTAAAACTCTTACATATTCTAGGAAAAAATGATTTGTGATATTTAATGATGATCAAACAATATTAAATTGGGTTTTTTTAAAAAAAGAAAATTTTGAATTGATAATAACATTCAAAAAAAATTTTACAACTTGGTACAAACACAAATTCAAAAAAAGACTCAAATATTATGGAGTTTTAAAAATATTTTGGGTCCTTTTTTCAAAAAACTAATATTCAACCAAAGCTTGTGTTGACACTCCATAACAAAATGTTGTGACTAAAAAAAGATAAACAATTATTGGAAATAGCTCGGGCATTATTATTCACTAGTATGTCAAAATATCTTTGGGATAAAGTCATTCTTACTATTATATGTGTCATGAATACAACATCCAATGAGGTTTTAAACTTTAAAACATATTTTGACATTTTTCAAAAAAAATCCAAAATATTGACTCTCATCTTCTTCCTCAAAAGATATTTAAATACATTGTTCTCATTCGCACTCATAGTCATAAACAAGAAAAATTCAAACCCTGAACTAAAAAATGTGTCAGATTTGCTCTTAACCAAAATAGGTATAAATATTCTGATCAACAACAATAACAACAACAAAGCCATAATCCCACTACGTGGAGTCAGCTACATGAATCCTTTTTCTCCATTG